TTTCTCGAGACCGTTTTCAAAAAAGCAAAAAGGCTCCGATAACGACCTTTAATAACGATTGGGTCTGGTGTATTCGGCAACTGGTGATAGGTATATCAAATGCGAATAGGTCCAAATTAGGTATTAGGTCTATTTCTGCATTGACACTGGACGCGCATAAATCGACGAACAGGTGATCTTGCGGACTTTAGCACAGGAGTCTACTCCTCGAACGTTGCTGAGCTTCCCACCGGTCCCGCTTCAAAAGGCGTCCATTATAATGGCGAAAAAATCAGAGTTTTACGAAGTATCTTAGTCTACAGCCCACCATACATCACCAAAGAGACGTCCGATGTTGATGTGTGCGCGATCTTTTTTGGACTGCGAAACTGTACGTAAGCCCCGAGCGTTCGTTTTGGCCCACTATGTCGAGTGCCGTTGTCAGATAAACGAACGCAACTGGTTCTCATTTCATCCGTTTTCTCATATTTGACGAGATGCGAAGACCACAACAATAATTTCGTAGGCTCAGGAATACATTGGTCCGTATGTATTTAAATACGAAACCTTTTTGGTTTACTCTCTACTCTTGGAAATTAACAGTGGTGGCAACCATAGCCTTGATGACTCGTTTCTTGGCTGCGTATCTCCCTAAGCAGGTTATTTAGTCGCCGTTGACAGCAACCTATTCCGCATGGGGAACTTTTTAACTGCAGTCATTTTATGGCACAGCAGTCATCACTTGCCGTATCCTATGAATTAGTAAGTTACAGGTCAGTTACAGGAATGCACCCATTCCACTCAAATACTTAATAGGAGTCCAAGCTAAATGGCAATTTCACCTAAACTGTGAATATGAAAGCACTGGCGGTATCGATACAAGAGAAAATGTTAGTCCCGGGAAGCAATTGAGATTAAGTAAACGTGATTGCTGACGTTTCGGATAGAAAATCGAACTATTCATCAGTATATGATTTATAATGTCCGCTGCGGAGAATGTGAAATCGTCTTTCAGCTGCCGCTAGTTACCTGCCGAAATTTTATCACCTGTTTTGAAGGTTAGTGTGAGTGCGACACCGCGGAGAAATGACGTTAATTCTCAAGTGGCGATTCAATCCACAAAACGCGGCCACACGTTCAAGTTCGATTACACCAAAATTCTAGCGAGAAGTGACAATCGCGGGGGCCACAAGGTGTTTTAGTCATGTTTCACGGGCTCCCAGTCTCTTTAGCAAGTGCAATGACCGGCCCGACCCATATTCGGTGCTGAAACTTAGTTAAGCCAAAGCAATCAATCACTCGGGGAACGAGCGGACGAACACGTTTTGCAACGCCAATGTCAGTGAGACAGATGGTCGAGTAATCATCCCAGTAATGTCCAACGTGGGTGATTAAATTTCAATAGACGACGACGCATATGCCGTTCATTAAGCAATTAGCGCACTAGAAGGCAATTATGATCGATGAAAGGAAGCCTTAATTTCTATACGTATGTAATAGCCTATCGATTGCATCCTATAAATACTGCAATTACCCCTACCTGATGCTGTCTTGCAAATGTCAAGCGAAAAAAGATATTGTCCTACCGATCGCACTTACTTCTCGACTGATGGTATCGTCGACCACTCAACACAAAAGCTACAGATTGAGGCCCCAAACTAAACGTGAAACAGAAACTAAAGTGAAATCTTAGCGTCGCTCCTACCACAGGCCTATTCGAGAGTTTAGCTGAACAAGTGACAAGAGCAAAAATCGCATGGCCTTAGGTGCACGATGTCCCAGATAAGCATGAAGTTCGACAGGTACTATTTCTGTAATGACGCTTGCTGTGTCTGCTCTACCTGTCGTTGTAAGGTGTTTGACAAATAACAATGGAAAATGCCGAGTAGACGCATGC